TGTATAATCTCAACTGTTTTCTCATTTTATGTGATCTATTTTTCAACATGTAAATTTATTTTTGTAATGCATAATATTATACTCACATTTATGTAATGCCCGCTTTGAAAGTAAATGTCAAAATTACACAGACTTGAAAGTCGGCCTTCTGGGAAAAATTGACATAAAAGTACACCTTATTTCTGTGCAGAAAAACAGCCCTCTTTTTAAGTACATGGTAAATGACAAGTATTTTACCTCTGAACCATGGATAAATCAACCCCACAGCAATGAAATTTTGAAAAATACAGTGATGAGAAAAACATAGTGAAAGATACATTTAAGTAAAAAATTAACTCCCTTTAATTTGAATAGAAATTATTTGTCTTCTAACCTCTCACTTTACCCAGAGCCACAGTAATCAAAGGTTACAATGTTTTAAAATACTAAGATTTTAGCATTACTCCAGAACTATAGATGAATAAGAAAATAAGTAATTGAGTTTGTATACGTAAACACTTTAGGTGTGCTTTATGGATCTCCTGCCTAAATTTGCAGTTCTGAAAAATCTGCTATTCCAAATAAATGGTAAGCCCTCTTTCCCTGGGCTCATGGACCAAGAGACATGATACCATTTCTGTAGTATGGGGAGAGGAAGTTTGATTGACATTGCCAGCAATGGGCACCCACATCCTCTCATTCAGAGGCATTCTGCCCCCTGGTGGATTGTTCAAGAATGGGCTTTGATGAAAAGTAAAGAAGGCTTCACTTCCCACACCCTTCCTCTACCAGCTGCTTCTCTTCTGTAAACTCCAGTAGATGCCTCAGTTGAAAGCTTTTGCCCTAATTACACATTAGCTTGGATCAAAAATTTCCTTTTAAATAATGTAAAAACTCTGGGCTACCTAATCAGCCCTTCACAGGAAAAATAAAAAAATTAGATCAACACATTATTACTACGGCTATGCATGAGGAATTAAAAGGCAGGGAAGCTGAGGGACTATGGTGAGGGATTGTGGACTCTTGGAAGACCGCTGTAAACCTCTAGAGAAGAATGGAGAAGTTAAGAGATTGAAAGTAAATGAGAGGATCCCAAAGGAAATGAAATATTTGTCAATTTCCTCTTGGCTCCTAGAGCTGGTAGGAACCATCTCTTTGGTCTTTGGTCTATGTGTACCAGTCTAAGGGGGCAAGTGTGAAGAGTTCCAAACCTCTGTCACTTTTAGTTTAGTCAAGTTCTCTCATTGTCTCTTTCGTCTTCCCCAGTCCAACCTCTCTCAACCAGCACTCAATGTTTCTATGTTCCAGGGGCCCTGTATCCCCAAGGGAGGCAGTGGGGAAACACTGGCTTCAGAGAAAGTACCAATTGCTGACATCCAAAAAGGTGTCCGGTATTTTGATAGGTTCTTTACATGTATAGTCTCTAAACCTTTGCTACAAACTGCAAGTAGGCTTGCTCTATTTGGAATTCAAACCTAGCACCGATTCCAAAAGCAATTTTTCTATCCGCTTCTCCAGTGTTCAGATAAGTCAATTTCCTCTTCTTATGTCTCCTCCAAGATTGCTTCTAATCCAGGTCCTCCATTTCCTTTTCTGTATTTTAAGCACCGTAAGGTAACTTGAAATCTTACTATCTAGCCTAGAGACTAAATGGTACTTGCAGAATGCTGATCTGGAAAACTTTTGTGATAATGCACTCGACTTACCCTCTTCGCATTATGTGACATTGCAGTTTGTCTATTTCCTTTTAAATTCTACCTGCAGATATAGACTAAATCTTCCAAATCATGGCGTACTTGCCAATCCTCAATGGTATCATTTTCATCAATTATTCTCTCTAGAAAGCTCAGACTCCTAACTCAATCCAGAATCCAATGGACCAATCTTCCCATAATAACAGAATTACTACCCAAAGCTTTTTAGAACACAAAAAGGACTTTTATTTCATTATTTTCCTAAATTTCATTTCCAATTACACATTTGTTGAAAGGTGGAATACCAAAGGCAATTTTCAGCCACAGCAGCTCTATCAAACACACATAATCTGAGATTTTACTGGATGAGTGAATTATAGTCCTCTCAGGGTTTCCTTGTTATAGAAGGTAAAACTAAGATAACAGAGAGAAAAAGTGAAGAATATTGTTCTGTAAGAAATTTGCTGAACTCAATAACCATTCATTCATGGACGCAGTGTCCATTTTTAAAAAGGAAACTCTAAAATTCCTACAAACACAGACAATATTTGTATTTGTGGATGACTATACGTTCATATATTTGTGTGGAAATTTGTGCAATTAACAACATGGAAAATGTTATTCGTTACCACAGCCAATGAAAATATATTTTCATTTCTATGAAAGTTAGACAATTCTATCTCCCATTTTACATCCTGCAAAAAAAAAACACCAAAAAACCATAAGGCTAGTTTATGAAACAATTAAGCTATAGGCAGCAGTAACTGAAAAGGAGCTTAACAGTCTTAACTACATACCCCTGGGATGAATAATACACTTTGCATGATCATGTGCAATGCCAAATGATGTTTCTAGATCTCTTATAAATACAAGGGTTTGCAAGCTTCTATTTCACATAATATGCCCCAAATCCAGTTAGGTCAGCCAAATAGGCCAAAATTTAAGTGGGTAATCTACAAAAAGACAAACAGTCCTTTTGACTAAATTGACCATGTTTTGTTAATATGAGTACACCATCATTGTATGTGCCAAATAAAGAAATCATTTGCAAGTGGCTATTTGTTTCAATTAGCCTAGGAGTTGACTTAATTGCTTTTTAGGCCCAAAGAAAGCACAACTGCATAAACAAAAGACATCCATAACATAAAAGCAAATACTGTGCTTTAGGCACATTCCTATAGGTAGTAACCTAGATTTCTCCATAGGAGAAATGTCACAAAGCAAAACAAAACGAAGAAACTTGGAGATACAGCAGAAATAAGGGCTCATCTAATTCCTAAAATTTTATCTTACTCCAGTAACTGGTGTAAATGTTAATCAAAATTCCTTTTTTTTACTTAATTTACATTTTGCTCTTTTATTTAGTTTTTGTGTGAAACTTATGAGTTCTAGAGTCAGTGCCCCCGAGTGAAGGTCTGCACGGTAGGCGAACGGTGCACTTCAGATCAATACATCTATTGTCTCACAGTCTGGACTGGAGAGCATCAAGCAGGGAGTGAATTCATTTTACAAAGACAAACTTACTCCTGCACGCAAGGTATCAACTGCAGAAAGCCCTCTGAAGAAGGGAATGTAAATCTTCTTGGGATATTAAATGGTCCATATACACATTTTTTTTTTAAATTTTCTGTGTAATGACCCTTCAGAGCTACTCCTTTTCACTTAGGTAATACTTTCTTCTTTTTTTTTTTTTTTTTATCTTTTAGTGTATAAGTCTTGCCCTATGTTAGGGAGTCCTTAGACTGAATTTGAGATAACAAGTTAAGTATTGTTGCAATTTGAAAAAACAGATAAATTTAAGTATTACTGACATTATATTCATTGAGGTGTCAGGTCAGTGACAAATTTCTGAGGTGCAAAGGCTTATCAGTTTCTTGATTACCTGATAAGTTTGAGGTTTGGTTCCATGAGTTACAAGGAAAACAGGCTCAATTTTAGTTTCTCTAGGCTTTTCTAAAGTTCTTCCATGCCATTTTCAAGTGATCTTTGTTCCTACCCAAACTTCATTAGAAAGGGAAAAGAAACAAGTTTTTTTTAAAATATGATTTTTAGGGTTCTTGGTGCATTTTGAAGATTTTTGGAGAAAGGGGCTTTTGGTTTTTTTGGTTATTTTATGTTAGCACACAAAGGAATTACAGATGGGAAGGAGAGTGCAAATGACTAGCAGAAAAAAGTCTCATGCATTTAAGATTTTTTACAAGTCAAAATATACATCCTCCTATTGCCCCTCATTCCTTAATTGGATAAGAACTAATCCTATTTATTGGTCTCCTTTACATCTCACTGAATTGGATAAGGAATAAAGATGCTTTTCTTGTTAAGGAGCAGAATATACCTAGTATCACCAGTTTAATCAATTGCATTTATAAGAAACAGAGCAGCTTGGGCTGAGTCACCCATCGTATCCTCCATTTATGGGGATTTAAATGTTTCAAATGACAGGTGCATGAAATTAGAAGTACAGAAAATAAAGCAACCTGCAGATTTTGGCACTAGCACACATAATGTTTGTTTGAGTTGTTAGAAATGTGGTTTGACAATCACTAAATCAGAATTAAAAAATCACAAATCTGCAGAAAACAATCATAGGTGTTGGTTCTCTGTTTAACGGTCCTCATCTCCCATTCCCACCCACCCAGCCCCATACATTTCAATTATAACAAAAATAGAGATCTTAACGTCAGAATTTTGCTGTTAACTCTTCAAGGTTTCTCTCTGCCCTCCAAGCCACACCTACGGATTGAAGCACCAACTCCACAAGTTGCTCCAACCAAGGTTAAATAAACAAAAACTGAAGACTGAAGGATGCCAAAGTAACTGGTCCTAAATGAAGCTGTAACACAAAGTTCTCCCCAAAACACAGGGTATTAAGCGTCTAGTTCAAGTACTGCCAGGTTGTAAGCATCTGTCTCAGACAGGGTTCAAACAACAACTACATGTATCACTGGTTCTAGAGGTCATCATCCATGACAGGAGAGCAGGGCAATGATCACCTTTCCATCATCGCTTTTTAAGCAGTTGCAAAACCCCCTTGTGATTGGCTGTCGCAGGATCAGTGCTGAACCTGGGGTTTGAGGGATGAAAGGGAGCCTCCTCCTCAGCAGGGAAGCTCTATCTTTCCTTTGATCAGTTCTCCTTTCAGAGCGAGAGCTAGCTCTCTCTTTCTGTCAGGGCTGTCCTGGCTTCTCAGGAGCCATAGCCCTTGCCCAGAAGAGAGTGCCTGGTTCGGACCCAGTAACAGTGAAAGAAAAGTCGACCTACCTGTGGAACCAGACACAACATGGTCCCCAAAGGCCACTTTTAGGCGACCCCAATGCAACTGAAAAGTCAATTTGTGCATTTAAAACGTATGAGTTTATGGAAAGCTTGTTTGAAATCCTCATTGGACATGGTATAGATAATGGGGTTAATGAGGGAGTTGAGATAACCCAGCCACGTGAAGAAGTCAAATATGGCCAGGTGGAACCAGCATGCTTTTTTGCAGATAGGCATCACTAGGGAGATGATGAAGAAGGGCAGCCAACACACAATAAACGCTCCCAAAATGATCCCCAGGGTCTTGGTGGCTTTGCGCTCCCTAGCGGCCATGAGTTTCTTCTTCTCCAGCAGGGCGTCAGAGATTCGCACTTTGACTTGGTTCACATACACAGGAGACCCCGATTCGCTGGGCATGTCGGGAGCCCGCGAGTTAATAGAGGTGACCGAAGACGTGGACCCAGGAGAGTCGGTTATCAGCTGGGCTCGGGTCAAACGCTTGCCGGTCTTGTTGGGAGTCTGTTTCAAAATCCGGGAGCGGGCTTCCACGTAGATGCGGCCGTAGAGGGCGATGAGGAGCAGGGTGGGGAAGTAAAAGGCGCCCACCGTGGAGTAGACTGTGTAGAGGATGTGATCGGTGTTCACCACGCAGTCCGACACCTCCTCCTCGGCTTTGGCCTGGCGCCAGAAGAAGGGTGGCAGCGAGATGGAGATGGAGAAAATCCACACCAGCACGATCATGACTGCCGCCCTCTTCGGAGTCCTTTTCGCCGAGTACTCCACGGCGTCCGTGATGGCCCAGTAGCGGTCCAGGGCGATGACACAGAGGTGCACGATGGAAGCAGTGCAACAGGTGATGTCCGACGAGAGCCAGAAGTCGCAGACCACCTGTCCCAAGGTCCAGCGGCCGGTGACTGTATACATGGTGCTGACGGGCATCACCAGGATGGATACTAGCAGGTCGGTGAACGCCAAGGAGGCGATCAGGTAGTTGGCTGGGGTATGTAGCTTCCGCGTCCGGTACACAGTGGCGATCACAAATGCATTGGAGAGCGTGGTGGCCAAAGTGATGAGCGCCAACAGCATGACCAGAAGTACTTTCCAGGGCAGGGCGATGGAGTCCTGGTAAATGTAGCCCTCGCCGCTGCAGTTGTGGGAGGGAGCAACGGAGAGGTTGGCTTGAGAAACCCCTGTCTGGGAGCCCGCTGGCTGCGGCGGGGCGCACTGAGCGCCGGTCTCCTCCATGTCTCTCCTCGCCCCAGCTCCGGAGCGCAGCTCTGGAGCATGGAACGGACGATGGAGAGAGGGAAGGACCACAGAAGAGACCGCGTCTCTCCCCCAGTTGGTAGGTAGTTCAGTAGGTTCCTCAACAACTCCTCCACCGGGTTCCCAGCTGAAACTAGAGGTCAAGGGCGCGGCAGCCCAGGCAGGCGAGCGCGTCCCCTGCACTTCCAGTGCGCCTGGCGCTGCCTCCACGTCTCTGGCTGCTCCTCTCCCCGCCTGGTGTTGCTAAGGGCTGGCCCACCGAGCCCCACACCGCACCGGCTTCCACCGAGGCGTCTAGTGGAGGAGGGCCATGTATTGTTTGGGGAGGGACCATTAGCCAGGTGGGGTCTCTTACCCCAATTCTTGGGGCTGAGCGTTTCCTAGCCCGGGCGCTCCTTGAGCTGCAGAGTCGGCCCACACGAGTTTCCTAGCAGTTTAAACCAAAACGTGCAGGCCAGCGAAGTCCTGGTCTTGCATTCCCGCCCCCCTCCCCAGACTGTGGCAGTTTCCTGCGGCGGCTGCGGCTGCCAGAGTAGGGCGGGGTGAAGTCTGGGAGCCGCGCTGCGCCGCGCCGCGCCGCGCCTCGCGCCGGGGTTCTGCCCTCCCTCCTTTTCACGCGCTGGCCACTCCGGCGAACTGCCCCGCGGAAACGGGGCCGCACGAGGGGGGACTCGAGGGCTTGGGCTGCAGCTGCTGGCACCGCGTGGTCGCGGCGGCCACCTCCGTCCCAAGGGCACCACTTGGAGTAACGCTGCTGGGCGCACGGGTCTGGGGGACCCAGCGCAGCACACGGGGAAGGAACAGATTTCTGGGGAAGCTGGAGGGGAGCGGTGTGCGCCAGCCCGGGAGGAGCGTGAGAGCCGCGGAACAGATGAGCTCCTTTTATAGAGTCCAGGTCCGCTCCAGCTACTCTAGCGGCGCAGCGAGTGCAGATGCCAGCTCGCGAACACCTTCCCTTTTTTCTCTCACCCTCCCTCAGTTTCTCCCGCCCAGTTCCCTCCCTGGCCAAGGAAGCTCCCGCCGGGTCCTACCGCCCTCTCTCTATTTCCCTTTCTTGGGCCCCTCCCGATCCTGACCCAGGTGCCGCAGTTTTGGCCGAAAATGGGGATGAGGGCGTCCTGTCCTTGCCTCTCTCCGCTTCGGAGCTTGCTGCGCACCTCTTCAATTAGACCCACGCTCCCAACTAGGGGCACAGGCAACTACCTACTACCACCGACTCCAGCAGGCCTGTACTTAGGTAGAGATAGCCCCAATCTCTGACCTCTCCGCTTAGGAATTTTAACCAGCCCTGCTGGCCACACCCAAGTTAGAAGGAGGAGCCTGTGATATAGCCTAAGAAGGAAATGGCCAACAGTACATTTTATATTGAATACTTTGGACATCAAGTCATACTTAACTCTTGCTACAATACAAACTAATTTTTCATATCTGACTTTAGGAATAGGTACTTTTCATTCAATCCCTCTCCTCTGTGAGTCAACAGGAAAAAAAAAAAAAAAGCTGTGCGCAAAAATGTAAAACTGCCACGAACAGAAGCTCACTGTCTGTCAAATTAAACCTTCGACTCCAGCCTCCTGCTCCCGCGGCTGAGCAGTGCCTCTGGAAAACAGTTCGCAGAAAGCACGGTGTTTTCTCAACCTGCCTAGAAAGGAGGTCATCAGGACTCAAGAAAGAAACACACACACACACACACACACACACACACACACACACACACACACACACAATTGGTTCTGGGGCTATCACCAGCGGCAATATCAATGGGAACATCAGGATATCAACCATATTTGGCCCCAAGCAGAAGCAGTAGTCCCTAGGTCTCATGACCCCAGAACTTACCCCTGTGCCCAGATCCTACTCCAGCCTTAAGAGAAACAAATGTAGTACAGAAGTACAATTGAGAGTAAGTTTTTAAAAAGCACCAGGAAGAACAACGTATTTTCAACCCTGAGAGCTAACTCAACTCTCAGTTCCCAGAGCCTGGCTCAGTGTTTGTGGCAGGTAGAATGCATCAAAAAAAAAAAAAAAAATGAATGAATAAATAAAAACCTACATTGTAAATTAATTTGTCAGGTTAAGTGTATATGTATTTTAAAGAATATTATTCTGTCCATTTGAGAGCTGAAGATTGATTATCTGGCTCATCCATTCAGTTTTTTAAAAAATAATTGAGGTCCTTTGAAAGAAGAGTGTTTTACCCATGGTCACACAACTCTAACCCAAGTTCCTTCAATTCCCCCACTGTAAGCCAGGCAGGCAGGCAAAAATAGAGTGCCAACTCTATGCCAGGGCATTCTAGGCATCGGGGGTATCTAATGGAGTAGACCCAGACCCAGTTTTCAAGTAGTTTATATTCTCAAAGACGCAGGCAGACAATGACCGCATGAGCAAGTAAATAATTAACATGCTTTCATATACTGCTAAGTATTATGAAGAAAATAATACACATTCGTGCATGAAGTGTGAGGGTACTCCTTTAACTAGGTGGCAGCTCTCCAAAGACATCCTCTGGACGCCCCTGGACTGCAGCAGCCAGGCTGAGAGTAAACACACAACCTTCTCTTCCCTCTTCTCCCCCTCGCAGCACTCAGCACTGCTCTGGTAATACTCAACCTCATTTGCACCACCCTTTAAGGGGTCCTGTCCCTCCTCCCACTCTACTCACCCACATCAGGCTTCGAGCTGGACTTGATTACTTTGCAAACTCCCATCTTTCTCTTAGAAACCACAACAGAGGGAAGCAAGCAGGGAGCCTAAACCACTAGGTGGGGGCGTTGGCCAGGATGGAGCAAAAAATGTGTGCTGGGCGGGGCCAGGAAACTATTTCCCAGCTAATTTCGGGGAGCGGCAAGATTAGAGAGAACAAACTGTTGAAAGTTAGGAGGCAGAGTAACGCTGGGAGGAATGTTAACGCTCTACGGGAAGCCTCTTCTTTTTCAAATTCTGCTCCAGTGGCATGCAAAAGAGAAAACCACTTACTCCTTCTAGGATTTGACTTTAGCGATGGGGAAACCTGTGGCTTTCTCCAGCCGTGTTTTCGCTTCTTCGAGGAGTCTCGGACCCCGAGTGGAATCTGTAACATCTAGACCGAGTTTGATTCCCCTCACCTCCTTCCCATCTTTGGTTACGAAGTGCTTGAAAACCAGCCCCAGCCGTCACACAGGCAGGATTTTGAGAGTTTAGTGGAGAGCCACTTTTCATTAATTTCGCTCCTGCATTTCACTCACTCCTTTAGCGCTTGGAAACATATAAAGTGTTAGTGTTTGCACATGGGCGCATGTGGGTTAAACTGTCAAGAGAGCAGGGAACCTTTAAAGTTGGCTCTGCCTAGGTTGCGCCGGCGCGCAATACGGGGCCGTTAGGACCAGTCCCCAGCAGAGCTAGCAGGAACCTCCCTTCGAATATGCGGGAAATTCAGCCGACACAGACTGCGAGAGGGACGAGGAGAAAACAGAAATCGCGATGGGATATCGGAGAGCAGCAAAAGTTAGTTGGATGGAAAAAGCTCCTGTTTGACCACGTGGCACGAAAACCGCGCATTAATGTGTTCGCCTCCTCAGCTTCACGCGGGACTTTCAGCAGGGGGGGAGGTTAATACTGGAACCCCAGTGAAGCTTGTGGTCACAGACAAAGCCTGACACTGTGGTGTGGCGCAGAGGGACCAGAGAAGAATCACCCTTGCCTGTGCCAGAACCTTACCTGTGCAAGGTTCAAAGAAACCTTGCCTGTGCCAGAAAGATACGGTGCGGCTGATATAGTGGAATGAGAGGAGGCACAGATTTCCGAGTTTGCAGCAGGGTACTAACTAGACCGGACGCTGTGAAGAGAATAAAGGAAAATGCAATCTGCAATCTCACATCCTCTACTACCACCACAATTTGAAAAATCCTCAGGCAATTCCCTAACCGCAAAACGTGAGGACCTGGCTAACTACTTCTTATTGCAAATTCTGCTTCCTCAATCTATGGCTGCTGTTTAAGTTTGTTTAGTTTGTTTTTAACTCCCATCCAGGAAATGGGCAGCAGACCTTGACCTCTCTGTATATCTTCATGTGTGGTTTTAGCTCTTTGCTAGTTTCCCCTTATGTTTTCTCCAGTAACTATTCTTTAAAAATTTATTGGTAATAATGAAATTACAAGATTATTTATGTCTTGCTTGATGAAACTATAGAAACATTCAAGTAAATGAAGGTTTGAATACATACATACAAATGTATACATATAATTTTTGCAGACAACTTCTGGGTGGTAACAGACCCTGTGAAGCTCAGGTACTTCTCCATATTCATTGACCCCACATTGGACGCTTGACTTGGTATTTATGTCACGGCACACACATGTTGTGTGCTTCATAAGGGATTTTTTAAGCCTTGCCAAATAATAAAATCAAGGTCTTTATTTTCTAAATGATAGGCTGGCACAAATTAATCTATGATAATCAGTAACTATGTGTTTATGTATTGTGTCTGCATTTAAGGAAGAATGTAAACAAAAATTAGACAGAACTTAGACAGTTTCTAATGCCTGTCTCTGTAGTAACAGCCACTTTGCTACTTTCAACAGATACCCTCAACAGGCAGATTACTCCTGGTGCAAATCTAGCCCAGTTCCAACCAGTAAAAGAGCTAGTTCCCACCTAAGGTCTCAATCATGTATTTCCTGGCTGAAGACCTAGATCTCAAAAGAAAATTTCTAACTTAAAACTTAAGGTTATGTAAGCAGAAGTTGCATGGAGGAGACGGGCATTGAATTTTTCTTCTTGGACAAACAATGGGATGTGGCGATAAGAAATTTTTGGATGGAAAAACAATGCCAATAAATCTACCAAACTGAGGAACAACTTGCTACTTAACTTGGCAGCATCATTAGGCAGTTCTGTTCAAGATGAAGTCTCTCCACAAAAATCAATTCAAGAACTATAATAATGAAGTTGTCCACTGGCCTAAGGAAAGCAATAAAAACTGGTTTTTGCCTTATTTT